AAGTGTATCAGCCCTCCTTTGCATATCGAGTACGTTCTTGTCTCTATATTTATACTGGTCTTGTATATTCATTGAAACATCAAAATATTCAGAAATATCTCTATAAAAATTGTGAGACTCTGTCAAGTAGTACTTGGACTAGGCCATGTATTTAGTTTGATAATTCTTTAGGTTAAACTTATTAATCTCTTGTGGTGATCCATGGCCTTGTACATGTAGCCCATCCTTCTCATTCCAATCAAACAATTGAAGTACAAATATCTCAAGGAGCAAGAAAATATGGCCCCAAATTGTTTGTTTTAAAACATTGCACAATAACTTCCTTCTAGATGTCTGGATCCTGGACCCTTATCTACCATGTTTCTACTGTGAAATTCTTCTCAAATGACAATTGTCTCTTTGGCTATGTATGTATGGTATGCATGCTAAAATAGGATTCACGGGTCCATTCTTTTTTCTTTAAAAAAGGTTCACCAGTCGGTTTAGAACTTCGTTACCTATGCCTTTTCTTCATCACCTCTTTCACCATTTCATCATCAACATGAGAATGCTGCTTTCCACTATGCTTAAAGTTTGAAGTAGTCAAGAGCCTTTTTCTTATCAATTTTTTTTACCAGCTACCACACAACATTTTTTAAAGGAAAAAAGTTTATATAAGGTTGCAACCTTAAAATGTACAACTACGGATGCACTTCAAAAATCCATCGAAAAATATTATTTTAATGTTGAAAAACCCTCTAATTGAGCATCTCGACATCGAGATGTATGAATATGAAAGAAAAAATGATTTTAAGTCCTAAAAATAGTGCGTCTTGCAACACATTATCTAGACCATCCATTTTTTAAATTTTCATATGTTTATAGATCTACTTGATTTTAACTATTTTTGAAGTTTAAAACTTTATAATTAGATATGAAAATAGTTTTGAGATAATCCTAAGAATATTTTACATCAAAATTGTATGTTATGATCAAATTTGAAGATGCGCCTTGGATTGTTTAAGGTCGCAACCTTATGGAAACCACACCCTTCTCTAACTAACCTTATTGCACTATCTTTCAAACATTCTTTGTTTCAGCTTCCTAGACTTTTGACAACATTTTGGTGTTTATAGTTTATGGCAGGGCATCCAGATTTTATAAAGAAGAACATCTAATTTTTTGAGAGGCCATAGCTCAAGATCCGTCGGATCATCTCAAATATGGGTCTGTTGCATCTGTGCTTCAAAGAGATACAGTTTGATATAGTTTTTACGGATGATCGAAAGCCGGATGACACTATTTTTAAGGTTGAAAATGCCATACTTTTTCGGTCTCCGAAATCTTATTTTTCCGGCGACTTTCCAAAATTGGAACGTACTCAAACGGAGACCAAAATTGACGAAATTTATTGCAAAATGATCGTGATAGTATCCTCTTTGATTTGTGATAAAAAATAAAGCTTGGAATGTCATAGATCGTACTGGATTGGTGGTCGAAGAATCACAAGTTTATGGAACTTAGCCGGATTTTGGGTTCTTCCTTAAAAATCCGTTTCAAGACGATTAAAGGGTATCAAAACGTACGCAATAGTTCAAGCATTGATTCTATGACGATTGCTTGTCCAAATTACCAGCGTAAGCGTCCGAAAAAACTCCCGAGGCCTAACAATCGCAAGAGGCCCCTCATGGAGGGAATTAATATTTTAATTCATAAAATGTGTATTTTTGGACAATTTTAGGTGTTTTTTAGCATCCCACCATTGTTTTGTGGTTGCTCTATATAAAGAACTTAAATAATTTGTAATACTTTCTCTTAGTCATTTGTAATCAAATTCTTGAGCATTTGGAATAAAAGTTCTCGAGTTTTTGGCTTGTTTTTCAACTTTACTTTCAAGTTCAAGACTCAATATGGGAGGAGAGAAAAACATTTTTTTAGAGAGAGAAAATACCTCTACAACCCCTCGCTTCCTAGAACCCCCAAATTGCAACTACCTTTGGATTTTCTAATCTCGGCTAATACTTCAACACTAGTGTTTTCAATATTCCAATAGCCTTCTCTTGGCCAATACTTCAACATTACATTTCCTGACAAAATACAAATTGTTCTCAATATCCCAGTACAAAGTGTTTTCAATATCCTAATAGCCTTTTCTTATTCTAATCTTGCTAGTACTTCAACATTACATTTCTGCACTGCACATTTTAGAACTACTAACTACTTTCATCATCCTCTCTTTTAGGCGTCTCCACATTTTACAACTGCTTTTATATCACGAAATACATACAGGGCCTGCAGCGGTCAAACCTGCACATTTTAAGCCTGCTTCTAGTTCAAATATTAATGAAAACATACATACCGGTGGATGTTAATTATATTACATTATACCACCACCTAAAGTTTAAAATCCTAATGATGAATGAACATTGTTAAAAATATGATTTATGCCAATTCGAAAATATTGGAATTTTAAAATAGGAAGTTAGCGCATAAATCCATTTTTTTTTTAATGGAAAAAAAGTACGTCCCTGTTTTCATCGGTATTTTTGCCCAAAATAAGTCGCGTACTTTCAAGTACCCAACTCATTTAAAGCTCGCTCTTCCTGATCTTGGTTCGACACTTGTAAAGTATTGGAATGAATCATTTACATTTGTACTTTTTTTTAGTATAGGAAAAATCGGACGGTTCAAATTATAATGGCCACCATAGATAGAAATCGCCATTGGGCCAGTTCCGGTTTCGATTATGGCTAGTTTTGTTGAACCGGATAGATATTTTAAAAAATTTATATAAGATCTTAAAAAGTAAAGGATTTTGTTTAATGTTTTTCATCATTTTGGTAAAGATTGAAAATTGTTTTAATCATTCATATTGATTTTAATATTTTTTTATCTTTTAAAAATTATTAAAAAATACCCAAGGTACAACTCGATTATTTAAAATTTATTATTTTCAATAATTTTTAATTCAAATTATATCAGCCTAGTTAGATAGGAATCACCACAGGGCCTTCAATTTCGGCAAGTTTTGGTGAATCGGTTGGGTATTTTAAAAAAAATTATATAAAATCTTAAAAAATAACTGATTTTGTTTGTAAAGCATTTTTTAATTTTTTTCATCATTTTGACAAAGATTGAAAATTGTTTCGTTTATTAATACTTATTTTTATATTTTTTTTATCTTTTTAAAAAATTTCAAAAATATATCGCGATACAAATTAATTTTCAATTTCATTTGGATGTGCTTTGTTTAATCATACTTTAAATATAATTTTTATATTTGATTAGATTTGTTTTGTATGTTTTTATTTTTAATACTTTTTTGACTACTCGATATTTACCCATCAACAAAATTGTAACGTGACTTCATACATAAACAAAGCATTCAAAATCTTACTGATTCTTTATACTTTTTTATGTGGGATTCTTTTTATATTTTAATACAACAGTTGAATCATGAATAGAGAACTATACTAGCTATCGACCTAATTTACGGTAGAAATTCATGGGATCAATGATTAGAGGTATTTTTAAAATAATTCAAAAAAATATGAAAAAGTGTAAGAACATAGATTTATAGACAAAATATTTCCCCATATTTGTTAAAAATGATAGAAAATATAATAAAAAAGAAAACATACCTCAAATAAAATTTTTATTTTTAAAAATATTTTATTATTTAAAAGTGCTGACCCTATGACATCCTCTCAAATTTATATGCATAACGCTTCAAAAAATCATTATTACGTTTGACAGATATTCAAAAAATCATTATTACGTTTGACAGAGATTCACATGGATGTGAAACTTGGTTTTTTTTAGAGTTCTGTATCATATTTAAAAATGATCTTTTGAGCCCGATGGCCAGTTGTCAGGCCCAATTCAATCTTCCGACGCGTACGTGGCTTTTTTATTTTGGATCGGCCCAATTTAGTCTTTCGATGCATACGTGGCCTTTTTATTTTGGGTCGGCCCAATTCAATCTTTCGACGCATACGTGGCCTTTTTAATTTGGATCGGCCCAATTCAATCTTTCGATGCATACGTGGCTTTTTTATTTTTGAAACTTTGTGTTTATCCAATCACAAACCACCCGTTTTTAAATTTAAAAAAAGGGGCTGGAATGATTGTCATACAAAGGATAAATAAATGGTCTCTTTCGTACTCTGTTTTTATACTTTCTGATTTCGTGTCATCAGCGCGCTCCTCATTTTCTCTCTACTCTCTGAACCAGATACGCAAGCGTCGTCAGTCTCTCTCTCCGTCTTCATCCTCTCTCTCCCTCTAAACTCAAATAACCTCTCTCTCTCTCTCTCTCTCTCTCTCTCTACTACTACTACTACTACTACTACTACTACT